CTTACTCAAGTGGTGTTAAGTTCAAAAAAGTGTACAATGAAATCTCAGTTATTTTCCTCTACTTAGCCACCCTGATCTCCTCACTGGAGGCAAACACTGCTGTTAGTTTCTCGTGTGCCCTCATTTTAAAGGTACAGATCACAGAAACTTCCTGAGGTGGCAGCCTTGTGTGCTTGTGGATTTGCCTCCCACTATCTGAAATATAGGAAAGACTCATTCTTCCTGCTGTGCAGGGCCTACCAGCCTGTACTCATCAGAAGACACACATAGACGCAGTGCTTCTGGAGGAATCTGCTGTGTCCAGGTCTGCATTCTCGTGTCCCCAGTTTATCCTGATGGTGAAATGTATCTGCCAGCTTTATCACTGCATCCTAGAAGCTAAGGTTGTGCTAATTTGCTCCAGTAAGGGCCTGCGTCAGGAAATGCCATTTCAGTTGCAGTCAGCATTTTGCTTTGCTTATGATACTGTCATTGGATCTTCAGTTGGGAGGTAGGTTGTCTGCAAATCACAGGCAAGCAGCCTTTTTTTCTTTGCTAGTTTATTTTGGGGGGCAGGGTGTGTGGGGGTGAGGAATCTAGTCACGTTCAGTGGTTGTTCCTACTACCAGAGCATAATGTCAGGCCCTGATTGCAGGAGAGGCCTCACTGATCTGTACTGCCCTCTTGTTCTATGATTTCTCTCCAGCTTCCTAAAATGAACACAAGTTTCACTGCTGTGTGCCCTCTGTTGGCTCCGTAACCAGTTCTAAAGTTCCCTCTCCTTCAAAGATCTGTATCCTGCAGTTCACTATCTTGTACCTTTGACTGTATCAGTTTGTAATTTTTTCTTAAAAACAAACAAACAAACAAACAAGAATCTTTTAGAAGGCCCCTGAGTACCTAGCAGAATCAGAGAGAGAGCTGAAAAACCATATCTTGAAAGAACGTCCAGGTTTTGCTTCTGTGTGTAAGGAATTTGGAGGCCACCATGCCATCCTAACAAGTAAAAAGTTGCAAAATCAGTAATTCTTCTTTTTCCCCCGAGAAAGGTGGACACAGAGAACCCTAACATGCTAGAGCATCAACCTCCACAGGAATCAGTGTCGGGGTAGGAAAACCTGAGTGTAGTTGACTAAGTGTGGATAAGTCTAAGAGTTAAAAACCCAGGGGGATCCAGCTTAGGGAAGCCTCCTTGCTTTTGGGAGTTTTGTCCTGAGGAGCTCAACTAGTTTCTCATGATAAATGCTGGATAAAAGTCTCTTGAAAAGGGACCATTGTGAACTATGCCATAGTACTCTGTTCTTAACTAGAAGAAACTAGTTAACTAGAACTTAACCTTATGGGGTTTTATGAGAGCCTAACTGACCTGGGGGGAAGGGTTTACCCTTCCAGCTAACTTTAAACTTTAACCATCCAGGTAGGAGAAGGGAAATACTCAGCTCCAGCCCCTGTAGACATCATGTCCCAGCTAAGTGGGATTGGCGTGGGAAGATGGGGCAGGACTGGGGACCACTTAGGGATGTCATGGCTAAAAACATGGCCTCCCAAAAGATGACCTACTGTGGGTCTTTAGAATAATTGCTCTCTCCACAGAAGGCCTGTTTTCAGCAGTTCCTTTTGTATCATGTCTAGCTCCTAAGAAAAATGACAAGGCATGCTACGTGGCAAAATCACACTTTAGAGGACAGAGCCAGACGTGGCAAGGAAGGTGGAATTATCAGACAGCATTTAGAAGCACTATGGTTAATATGCTAAGGACGGTAAATGACTGGAGCAGACCACAGGCAAGCACTGGCAGACAGTGTCAGCAGAGATGGAGTGCTCAAAGCAGAGCCAGATGGAACGCCAGAGATTCAAAGTACCGCGTCACACGGAGAAGGTCTCCCATACCCCTACTAGCACATGGACACGACTGAGGAACAATGTCAGAGCTGGAGGATTTCTCAGTAGACACCTCCTGAAGATGTCTGAAAAAGTAAAGAGAACAAAGACTGGAAAAAACAAAGAGCAGCAACAAAAAACTCCTGCCAGAATAGCATGCTCAAGAACTGTGGGGTAACCACACAAGGTGTGGCATCCAGGTGGTGGGAACACAGGAAGGGAAAATGGAGAAATAGCTGAAGCAGTGACGCTGGAGAATTCCCTCAATTAGCACCACACACCACACCACCGATCCAAGAAGCTAGAAAACATCAAGCAGGATGAGCATCAAGACAATTACACTGCACATGCCATTTTCAGGCTGCAGAGAGTCAATAAGGAGTCTCCTGAAGAAAAGACAGAGAAAAAAGCAAAGAAGTACAGCCAGGCTCTCCTCGTCAGCCATGCAAACATGAAAGAGTAGAGGGAAAAAAGTGTCCAGAGAAGCTTGAGCCAGGGTAGCTCTGGGGGTCTACGTCAAGAAAGCCTTCAGCTGACTGAGTTCCACCCTTATATCCGTCTATTTCAAGATCAAATTCCCAGCAGAATCCTATTTCCCTAACTTGAGTCTCCATCCCACTTTGGCTGATGGCACCGTGCGCTTTAATAAGCAGCTTCCCCCACCCCCAGCCCCAGACCTTGTGAAATGGAGGAAAAGTGAGGTGCTGTGCCCAAAAGACGGGAGAAGGAAGCTGCCGACTGCCTCCTAGCCATGTGTGTGTGTGTGTGTGTCTTGCTCGGCGTTTCTTGGAGGACCATTGCTGCCTTTGTGGGAAGACCGTTTTCCATCCTGAGCTGCTTCCCTGCTGTGTTCAGCATCCCTGTCCTCGGCACTGAGTGCTGGCAGCCCTATGCACAAGTGTGCATGCTCTGTGGAACAGCACTCCAGTGCATTTCCACTGCTGTGTTGTTTAAGTCAAATAATGTTCTCTGTTTTCTCTGTCAAAAAGTTCTTCTGTTCACAGTTCCCAAACACCTAACCTGCTCTACCCCTAGAGCAGGTATGAAATACATAGGGAGCATCCATTGTGTCTTTGGTTCATGTTTCTGGTTAAGGGCATGGGTTTTAGAGACAGATCGTGGGTTCAAATCCCATTTTGGCTCTGCCATTTATTAGCAGTTGCTTCCTTTGGGTTTTGACATAATCTTACTTTGAGTAATTATGCAATCACTCTGTGCCTCTGTGAAGTGAGGATAATGACGGTACTCAGTTCATAAAATTGCTGTGATGCTCAAGTCAGTGTGCATGAGCCCTTTCATACATCGCCAAGAACATCACACACACGTATAAGCTATTATTACTATAGTTACAACATGAGCCATTGATTCAGTTTCAGTGTTCCTCTTCAGGGGTGTCACCTTTAAAGATTAAGGCAGAAGCTTTTTTTTCCATGGCATTTAGCTTCAAACTGTACTTTGGAAATACCAGAGAATTACTCTTTGTTTCATCCAGTATTCATTGAGTGCTTGCCAGGCAGCGCAAAGCTCCAGTGAGATGGGGTGCAGTGAGCAGACAATGCCGAGGGGAGTCACCCTGAGGAGAGCTGGGAGGAAATCTGAGGAGGACCAGTACGTTTCTGGAGTACGCAGAAGGCCTGGCTTACTGGAGACTTGGGAGGGAACAGGAGGCCTGAAGGGTGCTGGCCACCGTTGAGGGCCCGTCAGGAGTGGGGCTTGTCCATAGCATTGACTCTCTTTCCAAGGAGGTCATGAGAGGCCTCTGCGAGAGTGCTGAATGTGTGTGGAGGCTGTTGCTGTCTGCTAGGGAATGAGTCGGGGGGCGCAGGGGACCTGGTGGAGGGCACTCACATCGGAGGCTCCGGGAAGGAATGGGACGGGAGGAAGTGGTGCAGTCCAGTCAGGCCACAGAGAACCGACAGGTTTGGTGCTGGTCTGGCTGGAGAGTGCGGGAGAGAAGGAGGAGCCAGGGCAGTGCATTCGGGTTTGACCATCTTGCCAGTACGCATGCGTTTCCTTTAGTATTAAACTTCTGACCCAGTCTTTCTCAGTTTAGTCACTTCCTCTTCAGGGGAGGAAGTGAACTAAATTGATAATACCACTTTAAGACTTTCACCTTCCTGGTGTAGAGCTTCTCTTTGTGTTGCACTGTAGCCAAATTGTACAGCCTGCTTAAATTTCTTTTTGCTTTCCTCTTTAATAGCGGGAGCCCTTTTTTGGTGATACTTTAGGTATTTTAGTAGGAGTGTTCTGTCTGATAATAATTGCCACTGAGGATTTGAACTCAGTTGATTTACCACTCACAGTGCATTGTCTTGATGCCCTGGGGAAGCGGGAGGTGCAGGAGTCTGTAAGGCCTGCACCTGATGAGGAGAGGCCCACCCCCCTGTGGAGCTGTTGCCTACAGGGCGCTGGAGGCCCAGGAGCCCTGACCAGCTCCCCCAGGTATGCGCTTCTGACACAGACTTCAGGGGAGGAAGTGAAGCTTAGGAGACTTGACTTGCTGTCTCTTAAGACTGGTGCACCTTCCTAATAATGGGAATTTGCTAACGTTTTACTGAGCTGTGGCCACTTGTGATGGACTTGAGATCAAGCATGCTACACAGTCTTTAATTAAGCAGATTGTTTAAATTGATGCATGTGGAATGAATTACTTTACTTTTTTCCTAAGAAATGTAGAGAAACTGGGAAGAAAATTCATTAGACAGTAATGTATTGGGATTTTTTTTTTTTTACACCTAAATGAGAAACCAGAAATGCATATAAAACATAAGAACTTCAAAAACATCTCTTAGGCACAGACTACTATTAAACACCCAGGGATGTTTTTGATTTCTCATTATATTAAAATACTCAACTTCATATTCAGGACATTTAAAAATAGCTCAAGATGTAAAGCATTATCAGCTGTGCTTCTTGTACAAAAATTAGCACGTCATGTGTAATGGCTTCTAGGCTAATGATAGTATTCATGATAAAAAGCTTAGCTGGTGAGAGCCAGAGCCACAGCTGGTCATGATTCAACAGTGATTCCAGCTTCTAGGCGGCTCTTTTAGTCTGAATCCCCCTTTGCTGGTTGTGGGATCGTGAGGGCACTGGTAGTACATCCTGCCTAAGATGCTTCATTTGTTCCTTTTCTGAAGGTCTGACGTGTGCTCATTATCTCCTTCGGTGCTTGGCAGGCCTCTGAAGCCAAAATGGCCCCTTCTCCCAAAATGGCTCAGGATTCCCTCGGCCTTGTTTCCAACTGTCAGTTTTGGCTGCAGAAGCTTTCTATATGGGAACAGGCCTCCACTTTGGAAACTCAGCAGGACATCTGCCTTCATCTGCCTCGGTTCCAGGAGTTCCTGATGCAGGTATATCAATCCTTGAAAGAGATGGTAAGTAGTGGACCAAAATAACAACACCAGGGACTCCACCAGATTTCACAGTTAGGGACTTGTGATAACGTACTGAAGGATTAGAAAGACAGATTACCCATAGGTACTGCTGATGAGAGCTGGTTTCCTATGACATCCGTGTTTCCTGATTGGCTAGTTGTATTGCTACATGGGACTTCCTGACTGAAGGAGCTGTTTATTGATTATTTGTGTGTTTGTGTGTTTAGTTTTGCAGTGCTGGGGATTGAGCCTAAGGCCCTGGGCCTGTGAGGCAAGCCTTCTCCCATGTAACTATACCCCTAGGCCAAGCAAGTTGTTTTTAAATAAGGGGAACTTTGGTGCTTGTTGTCAGGTGATGGTGGGGTTCTTCTCGAGGCCTTTGTGCCACTGGAGTCTGGAAAGGAAATATTGCTAAGACGCTTACTCTTTCAGTCCTGCACACAGGGGCGGTCTCCCAGGAGATGTTAAGATCTGTTTTGATATTGACATTGCACTGTTAACATGCTAAAACCTCTTCTAATAAATATTTCAAGGGCTCTTTTCTGAGAAATATTAGGATTTTGAGTGTCTTTACTGTTGTTTTGTAATTTATTGTTTACAATTTCATATTTTCCTTTTGGTGTACTGCTGCTTCTAATGTAATTAATATATGTATATGTATTTTTTTCTGACAGCACAATTTTTCTTATTATGAATGTATTACTGTGTCACTTATTTTTAAATTTCAAAACAAAAATCCAAATTGTCCCTTGACAAAAGTGCTCTCCTGTAATGCTTCTCTTGCATTAAAGAGGCAAGTATGAGTTTGGAAGAGTAATTTTATTGATAATGTGAGTCCATATGTCTCTAGAAGGAAACTAGAAGGAGAGATACGGTCTGTGTGAAGAATCAGTGCTAAGTTTTGAAATTGTTTTTGTGGTGAGACTTATGTAACTTGACCTTACTGTGGTCCCAGAAAGCCTGGGACCAGCCTTGAAACTGAGACCTTGTGAGGAATTTATTACTGCAACAGCAGGAAGTGCTTGTCGTTTCAGCTCACCTGCACATTATCTTAGTTTGATCTTAGTGTTGAACTTTCATGGAAGGTAAAGAAGTGGGAAAAGAGCCAGTTGTACAACGGCATGTGGAGTTTTTAATCTTAAGCTGTTTTCTATTTGGCTGGTCTTTTTTTTTGTCTCAGGGTTTAAGTTGTAGATTAAGTATGATGTCATTTAGCATATAGCAATCAAAATAGTAATAAGCAGAGATGTATATCTTAATGCCTTGGCTGCTTTTCTTTCTTTTTTACAAGCTCCAGAGTTCTTGTCCTTTTAAACCTTCTTCGAAATAGTCTTACTGGGACTGAGTTAGGCAAGATTACAACCCCAAGATGAAGATACGAGCTCACATAGCTGTTAATAGCCAGTAGTTCTCACGTGGTCTGTTACTTTTCCTGACTATTGAGTATGAGTAGAATAAAATGAACTGTGTAGCAGCATTGACTTTGTCTAATCATGTCACACTTGTTAGTTTTGGTGACCTGGCATAAGGATGCAGTAGAAAGCCAGTAGGTTGCTTGTTAAGCTCCTATCCGAAGTCTGACCTGGAGGTCTTCTCTAGCCCTTCCTCTCTACCTTTTCTAAAATACACCAAACAAAGGGCATCCCACTCCCTCCACCTACGGTGTTACTTCAGTCCTTCTGAGTTGCCTGGTCCCCTTTAACTGACCAAATGTGCATTTCTTTTATAGAATTCCAATACAGCCGTGGAAAGAGTTCCCATAATTGGTCAAGTGTTGGCAAAAAGTTGTTGGAATCCTTTTATCTTAGCATATGGTAAGAATCCAAGGTGTGGCCTCTCAAACCCAAACTTCTAATGACACACACCTGTACATGTGTACAGCACACACACACGCACACCCATATGTGGGAGTGTTTTATATGCAAAGTCCTAGGGAGGACTGGAGATGTGGCTCAAGCAGTAGAGTGCCTCCATTCAGGGAGGAAAGAGAGCAGCCTGACTCTATGTGCGGTTTTCTGTTGAGGGACTCTGACAGGAGAGCCTGCTCTGGGGCCCACGTGGAGAAAGACAAGATGGCGCTCTCCAAGACAAGCTGCTGACCGTGCTGGGTTTCATATTTCCTACACGTAAAAGTGAGAGAGGGCAGGCCTTGCTTGAAACCCTATCTATGCCCACAGTCTTCCATCAGTACCATCTTCCTCTGACCAGCAGGCACTGCTTCTGTTCCTCTGTTTCAGCACTGTACTTACCTTTGAACTGCCCACTAAATTTCATGTTCCTGTCTGAGGTTTGCCTTGGTTCTGAGATAGCAGAGGTGACTGGCAGGCACAAGTCTGCACGAGTAGCCAAAACCGGCCGTGGCTGTATCACCACTGTTCCACTACTTATGCACTTTCTTCTGCATAAGCAGGGATCTTTTCTTTCTTTTCTTTCTTTCTTTCTTCTTCTTTTTTTTTTTTTTACAGTTTTATAATATGAAAATTGCTTTTTAAAAACAGTAAAAGCACACTTGGGAGACTGAGGCAGAAGGATCAAGAGCTGGAGGTCAGCATAGGCTATATAGCAAGACCTTGTCTCACACAATAATGAATCAGTGAAAGCAAATTGTTTCCATCATGGAAAGAGGTCAGTCAGTTACCTATAGATAGTATAAATTGAGACCAGGATCAGGATAAGAGGATAAAGAAGAAGGAATGATTTAGAAACGAAGGACACGGACAAGAGAAGAACAGGTAGTAACAGGCAGGCAGCACCTTTTTGTCAGTGATGTCCTTCCGTACAGATACTCGTCCACCTCCCCAGTTCTGGGTTTGTGCCTCTAACTCTGCCCCCCGAGATCAAGCCTAACAGCTACAACCTTGGGCCTTCGCTGGCCATGCCCTACTGCTTTGTGTGACCGTCTCCCCCAGACTCAGCAGCTTAGAACAGTAAACATTTATTGTCTTAACCAGAATAAGAGTATGCTGGCTTCATACTTCTAAACTATAGAATTGAAGTGTGAGAGTGTAGTATTACTTGCAATTTCAGTTCAAGACATCAAAAAGTAAAATACTAAGTAGCAAATGTGTTGGTCTGTCCTTTCCCTTCCACTCATTCAGAATCCAAGTTTGCACAGGACCTGAGGTCATGACTGTCTGCAAAATGAGCCCCGGGCACCTTCACCTCTCACTTAAGTGTCCTGCACCCGTGGGCTGCTCCAATCCTGATGTTAGGGCCCCTGGGAGGAGTCTGCTAGATGACACCTCTGTGGTGAGTGCTGGTGGCACTCATGAGTAGCAGGGCAACTGCCAAAGCAAAGTAAGCCCGTTAGCACTGCATCTCTGTGCATGTCTTCTTTTTAATTTTGTTTTTGAGACAGGGTCTCGCTATGTAACCCAGGCTCACCTGGAACTCTCTGTGTAGCCCAGACGATCCTCAGAAGCCTCTGCCTCCCAAGTGCTGGGATTATAGGTGTGCACCGTCACATCTGCCTTCATTTTAGTGCATTTCAATGCATTGAATCTGGCTAAGAAAGGCAGAGCCTACAGGTTGGGTGAAGTTTTCCTGGCTCTTCTTTTTCTTTTTTCTTTTTTTCTGAGAGAAAACTTTAAAATGGTACACTTGTGAACTAAGTGTGCGGAATCACCCAACCCCTGGGGAAACCACCCATCTTTTAAATTCCTTTAGATTTAAACTTCATAAACTAACTTCCTTCCTCCCTCTCTCCCTCCCTCCCTCCCTTCCTTTCTTTCTTTCTCTTTTTTCCTTGCTACCCCTTCCTTCCCCCCTTCCCCACTTTCCCTCTCTCCCTCTCCTTTCCTCCCTTCTCTCCCCACGTACCTCCCTGCGTTCCCTGCTTCCTGTCATATTGCATTCTTTGTAACCCTGGATGTAGCTTGTGTCAATGTCTGTCACACTTGCTACACGGAGATAGAATTTCTTCTAATATTTAAACCACAAGAAGTACAACATCACATTTTTACTCGGTGGTGTTAGTTAAGCCCTAGGATCTTTAGAGGTTATATTATATGACTTTTGACATGATGGATCTCAGGCAGTCCTATGCCTGAGGATTCTTGGTTTGAGCCCATAAAAGCTGGTGGGTGAGGGAGGAGGAAGGCCCCTCAGCATGAACCCTGCCATGTTTATTCAGAAATGTTAGTATTTGGGAAAATATAAGCTTACGATTGTCAATAGGGGGAAACACATTTAAAAATTACTGTTAGGGTTTTGTGCTTTGAGGGAGAGGATACTGCAGTTGTTATGGGGGTGCAGAAACACCATTTCTGCAGTGTTTATTAGATTGCAGAGGGTGGGAAGGTGCAGCGTGCCCTGGAGCTCTGCAGAGGATGACCCCAGGTGCTGGGTATGCTGGCCTCCCCTCTGGGGCCTCCCTGTGAAGTCTGCAGTGCTTCATTCTAGCTTGCATGCTGACAGCTTCAGTTTTGAGTTCCCATTTTGGTTTCTTAGTTGTGCTATCAGATCTCCACCTGGGGTAGACTCAGTCATAAAAAGGGAAGTGGCTCATCAAGTACTTGTTCCTGCCAATGGGAGCATTCAGCCATCAGCACCTTCATCTTACATATCTGCTGAAGTTTTCAGTCACAGAGGGGAGAGTAAGCGCATGTAAGAGGTTTCTGTGTTACCCAAGTCATTTGATACAAAGCAGGATACACTTCAAAACAATCCTTTTTGTTATTTTTTTTAAAACAAATGGGAGGGTATTCTATCAATTTAACAAATTAAAATATTGAATTGGAGCTACTGACTACTGATGTGCCCATGCCAGTCATGTTGGCTTAAAAAGACTGAAATTGCTAATGGTTTGAAATGTGAAATAAGCACTGAGTTCATCCGATTCTTCCCATCACTCTTGTTGGGCTTTAAAAACTGCTGTTGTTTCAGAAAGGGAATTGAGCACAGAAGAGCTAAGCTTCATGGTTCCGAACGCACAACAAGAAAAACCCACACAGCTAAGCTCACATGTGCTCTTGGATGTGTGTTTTGTCATCTTAGTACTGGGAGGTTTTCCTAAGCACAGTGGTTTAAGTTTTCATGCATATGAGCTTTTTTTCTATTGATAAAACCTCATTTTACTTTTTCCTTTCTGTAGATGAAAGTCAAAAAATCCTTATATGGTGTTTATGCTGTCTGATTAACAAAGAGCCGCAGAATTCTGGAGAATCCGAACTTAATTCCTGGACGCGGGTAAGAGCAAATCATGTGAGCACTGCTTTGAACTAAGTTGATTATTTAAAGCTACTGCTTGTTGTGTCCTCTTTTTCTACTACCTTTTCCTCTTTTTTTTTTTTTTGTCCAATTCTATGATGTTTTAGAACCTTTTTAAAGTATACCATTACCTTGCTGAGTGTAAAGTATTTAGAGATTTCAGTTTTGCTGGACTATGAGTTCCAAAAAGTACTGGTTATTAGGATGCAATTCCCAGTGCTGACAAAACCTAATTTGGGTGCTTTTGAAAAGCTCCTTTCAGGTAATTCAAAGAATCTACTCATTTCCTTCTGGCAATTGCTGCTTTCAAAAAAACAATTTCTCCCTTCCCATCTAGCTTAAACCCTTATGTAAGAGGAGTCTCTAGAGACTTCTCTACCTCCCTCAGAATCTGTTCTGGAGTAACTATAATTCGGAAGTGCCCGGGAGCAGCAGTCTCTATTTTGTGCCCTTAAGTTGTTGCCTGAGCCGTGTGTTCACTGTGTTACCGCCTGCTGTTTGCACTGCTGCTCAGGCCACCAGTCTGGATACAGACTACCCTGTGTGTTTTGGCTTCCTCTGAAAGGGTGGGCACACATTCGAGAGTGTGCTACGCCTGGGTCCTGGCTGCCTCGCCAGCTGCATGCTGGCCATTGTTTTCTGTTACCCCACCGTCTTGTGGCTACAGCCCAAGGACTTGCTGATGCCTGTCAGACTCTACTTAGCAGTGTGCATGTGGCTCAGGTTAGCTGCTCAGTGCTGTGAGATCGCCCAAGCAGCTTAACCCACATGGTTTTGTTTATCAGTTTGACTGGTGATACAATTGCATTCACTCCTTTTCTTGATTGCTTCATTTTAAACAAAATTGCTAACAGAGATGATAAACACAATATTTGTATTTTTGCATTAGATTCAAAGAATACAGTATGCACTAGAAAAGAATTGTGAGGGAAGAAAAGAATACAAAATTTAACCGGGAAGAAAATTCATATAAAGGGCTGAAGAAAACTGTATACAAACAATTTTACAGAAATTGAACAGAATATTTAGCGTTTAATTTTTTAATTGTTGCTTTTTATCTAGTACTTGATATTTTAAGGACTATTTAGCATACAAGTTCGAGTTGGCTAGCTCATTAAATCTTAAAACAGGCCATATAATGAAGTGTGCTTAAAATGATTGGGTTAACTTTCTTCATTTAGCTTATGACCTTATTAGCCTGTTTTAAAATTTCTAGCCTCATATTTTATTATGTGGTTTTTCCCTTTTTTAATACCCTGTCTACTTACTAATAGGCACTTGAATTTAGTACAACATTAAAATTAAAACACTGAGTTCCTGCTTTCGGGGATCTCACCTCAAAGGGGGTAACTCTTTGGTGGAGCTGGGGAGGTGTGATGATGACACGGAGGGGTACTTGCTCACACTTGGGGGTTTGGAGACATTTCCTGAGGGAGGACACATAGTAGCTAAGGGCTGAGGGATGGCCAGGTGAGCATGGCTGCAGGTAGGGAGAATAATCCCGTGAACCAAGAGAATGTGCAAAAGCATGGGGGTGGGAAAATAAATGCTGTCTTCAGGAAACCGGGGTGCATTCACTCCTCTTCATGAGATGCCTGGAACTTGGAGTCTGTGGGGTTACTGATGAGCATGAAGCCAGAGAAACAGGCAAACACCAAACCTTACATATGGTTATGACATTTTTATTTGATCTCGAAGGTGGTAGGAAACCAGTAGAGTATTTAAACAGAGAACTCATATGGCCACATGTGAGTTTTAGAAACCAACTGGAAGTTGGTTTGGAAGAGGGAAAGGGACAACTTTGGAAGCTGTTATGGTAATCAAGGTAATGAATTGAGAGGACCTGAATAACATGGAGCAGGTGGGCCCAAGTTTTAAGGTAATTCATTAATGGGCTGGTGGAGTGGCTCAAGTGGTAGAACACCTGCCTAGCATGCATGAGGCCCTGAGTTCAAACCCCAGTACCACAAAAAAATATAGATGTTTCATAAAGTAAGGTAGGTAATCAAAAGATGTAATGGCATATTAAGTGCAAACATACTTGGGGGTGTTGGTGGAGATGTATAGAGTCTTTGTACTTACGATTTGAAGGAGAGTAAGCTGATTTGCAGATAGTGGGTTAAAAGTGAGCAGTGATGGGGAATACAGTAGTGGAAGTGCTGGGTGAGGGGAGACTACCCAGAGGTGGGATGGGGAAACCACAGCGCACCTCCAGAGAGGGATAAAGGAGGACTAGAGTGTCAGTGTTATCGTTGGTTCTGTTCTCTTCCAGAGCAATGCTGAAGAGAAAGCTTAATGCTTTGAAGGCATAGTGTTGGTATTTTGCTGCTGAGATACACCCCCATCCCAGTTGAGCAAAATTACACTATATTCCATCTGTGACCTAGCCCTGCTCAAGCTTAGGCAGATGCCTCTTTTCCCGAGGAGGGAGTAGCCCCCAGTTGATGACCCAAGTACAAATGGGGGAGGTGAAGATCCACATTTACCTACTTAGCAACAACAGAGAGAATTAACACAGCTGTCGTGGTCGCCCTACCCACGAGGGGCCCTAGCATAGGTCACCCTTACATTCTTTGAGATCACACAGTGCTAACAAGTCTGAGGGAGTACCACAGAGAGTATGTCTCATATACTCTGCCATCTTAACTGCCTGAACTACCAGAGGGGTACTATGCACATGAGTCCTACAGAGGAAATAGGTTCTCTCAGTTCTGACACCCTGCACACAGAGTCAAAACCCACCAGCCATAGTCTAAGTGCCACAGGGAAGCTACAATACATTGGTAGTAGGAATTAAATTCAACACTGTGCAACAAACCAGTATTCCAGGGCTCATCATCAAGAGAAAGATAACCATAAAAAGAACCTCACTTAAAAGTAGAAGAAATACCCAGCTCAACAGATGTGCATGTCTCAACACAGAAATATAAGAAATATGAAAAATGGCCACATGAGTCCTCAGAAAGTTCATAAACCTCTAGTAACTAACTCTAAAAATACTGAAGTAGATGAAATGATGAATAAAGAATTCAAAAGAAGCTGGGTGTTGGTGGTTCATGCCTGTAATCCTAGCTACTTGGGAGTGTCCATGTTTGAGAACTGCAAATAGTTCATGAGACCCCCACTCCCGTCTCTAGAGCAAAATGGACTGATGGAGTGATTCAAGGGGTAGAGCGCCAGCTTTGCAAGTACAAAGCACCAAGTTCAAACCCCAGTCCCACAAAAAAAAAGAAAGAAAAAAGAATTAAAAAGAATGATTCATTGATTTAAAAGATCAGTGAATTCTAAGATAACACAGAATGAAATAAGGAAGGCAATGTAGGATATGATGACAAATTCAAGAGATGGAGATTTTGAAAAAAGAACCAAACAGAAATCAGAGAGTCAAATAAAAAAACTCAATGGAAAACCTCACCAATAGACTAGATCAAGCAGAAGAAGGAATATCGTGGCTCAAAGACAAGGTTGCTAAACATCTAGACAACAGCAGAGAATAAAAATGACCACAGCATTCAAGACCTTTTGAACATGGCCTGAGAATGAGGGTCTAGGCTGGAGGTGTGGCTCAAGTGGTAGAAGAGCTGCTGCCTACCAAGCACGAGGCCTTGAGTTCAAACCCCAGTGCTGCCACGGGGGAAAAAGAATAATAGATCTAGGCAGACTAAAGGCATAGAAAACCAATTCCATGAAATAATAGCTGAAAAATTTCCTTATCTCAAGAGAGAGATGGATATCCAAGTACAGGAGGCATTTAGAATGCTGAATAGACATGACCAGAAAAAGAACCTCCCCATGTCATATTATGGTCAAACTGTCAAGAGCACAGAACAAAGAACATTGAAATGTGCAAGAGAGAAGCACCAGCTTATTATAAGGGAAAACCCCTCAGAATAAGATTTCTCAGCAGAAACTGTAAAGTCCAGTAGGGCATGGAATAATGTAGCTTAAGCACTTAAAGAAAAAACTGCTAATTTATGGGCCAGCTACAGTGGCTCACACCTGTAACCCCAGCTAGTTGGGAGGTGGAAATCAGGAGGATCATGGTTCAAGGCCAGCCTTGGCAAAGCGTTAGTGAGGCCTTATCTGAAGCACTAAGCTGAGTGTGTTGATACATAGCTGTCATCCCAGCTACATATGAGGTGTAAGTAGGAGGATTATGGTCTTGACTGGCCTAGGCAAAAACATGAGACCCTATTTGGAAATCAATTCAAAGCAAAAAGGGATAGGTATGTGGCTGAAGCAATAGAGGACCTGCCTACAAGTATAAAGTCCTGAATTCCATCCTCAGTATAGCAAAATAGAAAGAAAGAAAATAGAATCTAAATAACTATATCCAGCAAAGTTATCCTTCAGAATCAAAGGAGAAATAAAGACCTCACAAGGTAAGTATAAACTAGAGGAATTCATGGCCACTATCCAGTATTGCAGAAGGTGCTTAAAAGAATCCTACACAAAAAAAAGAGGAAGAAAAAGAAATAGAATCACAATAGCCCAGGAATAAATAAATCTTGCTAGAGAATAGCTAAGAAAAGAATTAGGAAAGAATTAAACTGTTCAGAAAACCATCCAACTTCTAAGACAAATAAGAAGGAAATAAGAGAATGTAAAGTATTCAGGATAACCAGAAGGAATATAACAAACTGATAAAAATTTGCACATGACTTTCAGTAATAACCCTGAATATAAAAGCTCTCAGTTCTCCAACTAAAAGACATAGGCTAGGTGAATGGAATTATAAAACAAGACCCAGGCCTCCTGGTGCTTATTACAGCTGTGTTCTTACACTGTATAGAAAGAGGAGGCAAAGTAAACCTACCCCATATGCATCTCAGACCAGGCCGTATGCCTGGTCTGCATTGTGAATGGGGAAACATGAAAAAAAATAAATAAATAAAAACAAGACCCAGCTGTTTGCCATATACAGGGAACTCACCTCACTGGCAAAGACACAGACTGAAAGTAAAATGATGGAAAATAAT